GGAAGGAAGGAAGGAAGGAAATAATTCAACCAAGCTCCATGTTTCTCATAATAATGTACAGGCAATTCCTGCATTACAAATATCCAACTTACAAACGACTCATAGTTAAGACTGGGGGTGAGACAACAGGAAGTGAGAAGGGAAGGGAAATTTACTCCTGAAAAAGTTATTATGAGGAGGCAGTGTCTCCACTAAAGTTTTCCCGCCAATCCTTGTTTTCACAACAAGCCAAAATTTTCAAAATCGAAATATCACAGGCACAGAAAGTGAGGTGATATCTTCTGAACAGGGGCACAGTCAGCAAAACAAACACCACAGTATTGTTAACCCTTCCCTATGCTGTCCAAATCTAACTATCAATCTATCCATCCATCCATCTATCTTTGGCTGGGGTTATACTGAAAAAATGTATCTGTTATGACTTATGAACAAATTCAACTTAAGAACAAATCTACAGACCCTTAGGGTTCTGATCTCCAGGCAATATAGTATAAACCATTTTTATTAAATATGTGATTTAAAGTATATGAATATGGGGACATCTTATAGATTTTATTTTCTGCTTTGCATTAAGTGTGGAAAACATCTGTAAAGTTCCTTTATTCCCTATAGGACTGTTTGCAAGACATTAGTAAGAATAACTTTTTTTTTAAAGGGGCTTTCCAAACTCACAATTCTTTCATATTTTCAATAGAAAGAACTTAATGTGAATGTGGAAGGAAGAGAAGTTGAATGTAGAAGGAAGAAAAATAGTCAGCCCATCTAAGCAGGCATTGAACTGCAGCTTATTTTGAGTGCCTAGCTCTAAAAATCTGACTTTGAAATTCCACTATTCAGCAGTGGTGTCTGAGTTGGATTGCAACTTTGGAAACCATGTTTTGAATTCCTTGTTCAGTCAAGGAAACCCACAAGGTGACCTTGGGCAAGTCACAGCCTCTCAGCCTCAAAAGGAGGCAAAGACAAACCCAGACTAAACAAAACATTATGATAGATTTTAGAGCTACCTAAGTTAGAAATGACTTCAAAGCAGACGACAACCCTGTCTAAGCATTACAATCCCGTATGTGAGATTGAATTAGGCTGTTGCCTCTTCACCTCCCCCCACCCCAACAATCTTCTCTTTTTTTGACCGTTCATACCTGATAGGTATAACATGGTTCTCTCCATGTGGTAGAGTGCCTGTTGAATTTGCCTAGGACAGAGGGTTGAGGATTTCATCATACATTTGATAAGAAATTTTCAACAAGAGAAACAGATTTGTCAATTCCTAGCATTCATAATGTACGTGAGAAGAGTTCAGCATGAGCTGCACAATTGAGATTTGTGGTGATCAGATGCTTTACACGTGTGCATTCAGTGTTTGCAAATTCCTCCATACAAATGTTTTGATCTTTCAATTCCCAGCATTACTGGTAGTCCCTGATAATTGAGTTTGTTGGATGGTACGGAGAGGGTTAGCATTCCATTGGCATTAGGATATTGTTGGCTACAGAACTCACAAATGTGCACATCAAATACATGGATTTATCAGCCTGTTTTGTTTTCACCCCATTTTGAGCCTTCCTTCAGATTCAAAGGCAAAGAGTCTCCCCTGTGATATTATCAATAATAAGTACACAGCTTGAACAGAAACAGGTATTTTTGCTCATATAAATCTGTATCATTTTCATCAGATTTATATAGAGTTGTGTGAGGATTAGCCATTGTTACAACAGCTCAGTTCTGAAAGCCTGTTTATTAGCAGGAGGCCAGAGTGACTTGTGCCAACAAAAAGACAGAGGCAATTTGCCGATTGAAGTACACAGTCAACAGTGTGATGTCTTGATTGCAAGAGGGGGCTGGAATTCTTTGATCACCTTGGCTGGAGACATCTGGAAATTATAGGAGGTAGCTGAGGTCAAAATGCCACATGTTTCTTTAATTATTTGAATATATGACCCAGTGCTAATGAGGGCAAAGCGCCCTCCTATAAAAGTGAGAAGACTTGCTGGAAAACTTAACTTAACAAACATGAATTATTGTAGCTTTAATTTATGGAGATTTTAAGGCGTGTGGGGTTGGGGCAATTCGGAATTGTCCCAATCTAGGATTTATGTTGGTTTACTATCAAAATGCATAACAATTCAAGATCTTGAATCCAATATAGGAGACCTAAAGATTGATTCAGTCTGGGCGTCATAAAGAGATCTTTCAAGGACATTTAATTCTTGAAAGAATGTTGTGCATTAGTGACCTAGGTCTTCTTTAGTGACAGCAGGCTCTGTGCTTTTTTTTTAATTTTATGCTGGCTTGATTAGGAGTACTAATTGGGATACTGTTTGGAAAAGTAGCCTTTTTGGATGATAATTTTCAGAATCTTCTAGCTGGTGTGGTCAAGCCAGGCTTGCTATGGAATTTATTTATTTATTTATTTACCCTATTTATACACCTTTCCCAACCCTGTTGGGTACTCAGGGACAGCTTACATGTATAGGCAACAATTTGAGGCCATGTAAACATACATATATAGTAAAATAAACATATTTTAAAGCAATCATTAAAAAATCAATGAATTAAACTTTAAAACACTATTTAAAATCACAATTTAAAAATGTGTAAAGAAAACTTCTTTTCCAAGCTTGGAATCCAATTTTGAAGAGTATGGCAGCATCATTAATAATAATGGATTCATAGACTTGGAAAAGACTCCAAGACCTAGCCAGTCCAGCCTCCTGCAGTTCAGGAGCACACAGTCAAAGCACTCCCAACAGATGGTCATCCATCAAACAGTTCTGACCACCAGGAAGTTCTTTGTAATGTTTAGGTGGAATGGAATTTGAATAAATTGCTCTTAGTCCTTAGAAGAACAGCAGAAAACAAGCTTGCTTCCTCCTCCATATGACATCTTTTCAAATATTTAAACATTGCTATAATGTCCACTTGTAACCTTCTCTTCTCCAGACTAAATATACCCAGCTCCCTAAGGTGCTCCTCATAGGGCTTGAATTCCAAACGTTTAATCAGTTTGTTCTATATTACGTTAAGGTTATTTTGGATTCCGATCCTGTCCTCTGAGGTAGTACTTACTAGGCCTGTGCGGTTTCGTTCGTTAATTCGTTAATTCGTTAAACATTCGTTAATTTTTGCATATACGAAACGATAACAAAACATATTTTCAAACCCGGAAGGGTTTTTAAATATCGAAACGGCAGGCGCCAAAAAATTTTGTATTTCCGTCCATTTCGGAAATACGTAAGATGGCCGCCTGGCTTGCTGGGAGCTCTCCTCTCTCCGCGCCGGCTGAGCAAGCGAGCGAGAGGGCGAGCGAGAGGGCGAGGGTGAGCGGCGAGCGAGAGGGCGAGTGAGAGGGCGAGCGGCGAGCGAGAGGGCGAGCGGCGAGCGAGAGGGCGAGTGAGAGGGCGAGCGGCGAGCGAGAGGGCGAGTGAGAGGGCGAGCGGCGAGCGAGAGGGCGAGCGGAGCGAGAGGGCGAGCGAGAGGGCGAGCGGCGAGCGAGAGGGCGAGCGGCGAGCGAGAGGGCGAGTGAGAGGGCGAGCGGCGAGCGAGAGGGCGAGCGGCGAGCGAGAGGGCGAGTGAGAGGGCGAGCGAGAGGGCGAGCGGCGAGCGAGAGGGCGAGTGAGAGGGCGAGCGGCGAGCGAGAGGGCGAGCGGCGAGCGAGAGGGCGAGGGAGAGGGCGAGCGGCGAGCGAGAGGGCGAGCGGCGAGCGAGAGGGCGAGGGAGAGGGCGAGCGGCGAGCGAGAGGGCGAGCGGCGAGCGAGAGGGCGAGCGGCGAGCGAGAGGGCGAGCGGCGAGCGAGAGGGCGAGCGGCGAGCGAGAGGGCGAGCGAGAGGGCGAGCGGCGAGCGAGAGGGGCGAGAGGGCCCGCCAGAGTGAGTGCCTGCCTTCCCTTAATTTCTCCTCCCTATTCTACTAAATTATTTAATAATTAAATTTAAAAAATATTTAAAAAATATTGAAAAAAAAAAGGCCCCATCTTTACAAAATGTTTTGTTAATATTTACGAAATTTCGTAAATACCGAAACTTTTTTTTGGAAAGTTTTGTAATTATTTTAAATATCGAAACAAAAAAACACCCCAATTACAAATCGATTTTAGAAACAAATTTTTTCTTGATCAAACAGGCCTAGTACTTACCCCTTCCAATTTAGTATCATCTGCACATTTGATAAGCATGCCCTCTATTCCATCATTCACATCATTGATAAAGATGTTGAGTAGCAATGGGCTCAGAACTGAACCCTACACCATCGTATTAATTTCTTCTCTTCAGAATCAAGAGGGGCCATTGGTGAGCACTCTTTCAGTTCGGTCATTCAATCAATGAGAAATTCACCTAACAGTATCATCACCTAGTGTACATTTTACCATTTTCTTTGTGAGAATAGCAAGGTGAACTGGTTACACACTTTATTGAAATCAAGATATGCTGCACCAACAACATGCACTTCATCTACCAAGTTTGTGACTTTACAAAAAAAAAAAGAGAGATAAGATTAGTCTGACTTGTTTTTGGAAAATCCATGTTGACTTTTGGCGATCACAACATTCCTTTCTAAGTGCTTACAGATTGTCTGTTTAATGATCTGCCCTAGACTCTTTCCTGTCTGACTGGATGGTAATTGTTTGCCCCTCCCTTTTATTCTGAAAGATGGGGATAACAACATTTGCCCTCCTCTAGTCTGCTGGAACTTCTCCTGTTCTCCAATTTCTCTGATTACGTCTGCCAGTTGTTTTAATATCCTTGGGTGCAATTTATCTAGTCCTTGAGAGATAAAGTAGAGTTACTAAGTATTCTTGTATTACCCTTTATCCATTTGGTGCTGCATGTCCCCTTGCTGTCTCATGTGCTTCACTTTCCCCAGATTGGACATTGTTTTCCTTTTGGGAGCAGACAAAGGCAAAGAAGGGGTTGAGCAGTTCTGCCTTTTCTCAGTTCTCTGTTAACATTTCGGCATTCTCTTCACACTGTGGCCATACCATTTACTTGTTCTACCTTCATATCATTCTAAATTCCAAAATATATATCCTAGAGCACCTTCCCATAATCTGCCATTCTTCAAATGTGCTCAGATATAACCCCATCACCACAGAATAAGTGGCTTTATTTTCTTGATTATGGCAACTTATCACATCTAAAGGACCCAGGTTGGGAAAAACTCCATAACTGCCCCATAAAAAAACTAATTGTGATTTAAAAAAAGAAAACACTGATTTCAACACAACTCGTGCTATTTCAGGAATTGAATTCCAAATACCAGGCTAATAAACTTAAATAACTATGACCTGACCTTCAAGAAACTCAGTAATATTAGCCACTTAATCATCAGGCATGTAGGCATTTTTGTTATTTCTTTAAGCAAGTGTTTTTGGCTGCCCTATACTCAGGAGAATTACAGCAGGCTAAGTCCTTGGCACTGGCACTTGGGCAAGAATGGTGCTTGAAGACTGGGGAGTGTGGGGAAATAGAGTGTGTGTGGTTCACTATCCCACACCCATCACTGGAATAAAGCAGCCATAAGCTAAAGGAACACAAAACTATTGTCTGGGAATGAATTATTACAGACCTTCTAGTCCAGACCCTTAACTAAGTACAACAAAGCAACTACAGCATTCCCTGGCAGGTGCTCATATAGCCTAGCCTCTACTTAAATATCTTCAGCTGAATTATATTGGATATATTCAGTGATATGTTTCTTTAGCCAAACACAGACATACATTCCCTCTCAGAAATGTATCAAACTGGAGTATGATGGTGGCATAGGTTTGATTCAAGAAGTTAAAATAAGAACTCAATTTCTTTCATTTAACTTTAAAGGGGAGAAGTGATCAATGGAGGATTTGGTCTCGTGCTGGATGGCTCAGCTGATGCAGAAGAACGTGCCAAGATGATGTTGAGCTGGGATGTGTCCAATGGAGTAAGGACGTCTACTTGATCAGCTTGTTTTGAAGTATTGATTTTGTTATTTTCTTTACATGTGTCCAAATACATCAGTTCATGAATTCTTTAGTCCTCTAATCTGACATGAGGATTTAAAGATTGAACTGCAAAGACTCTGGTACAAGACAGTCACGGTGGTCCCAGTGGTGATTGGCACACTGGGTGCAATGCCTAAAGATCTTGGCCTGCACTTAAACACAATTGGCACTGACAAGATTGCCATCTGCCAGCTGCAAAAGGCCACCTTAGTGGGATCTGCACACATTTTTTCGCTGATACATCACACAGTCCTAGACACTTGGGAAGTGTCCGACGTGTGATCCAATACATCAGCCAGCAGAGTGTCTGCTGTGGACTCATCTTGTTGTGTTTCGAATAACAATAATAATAATAATAATAATAATAATAATAATAATAATAATATTTATTTATTTATTTATTTATTTATTTATTTATCGCTCTATCTCCCCTAGGGGATTCAGGGCTGTTTCCATAAACAAACATGAAACATACAGAGTAGCCATTAAAATATTAACATAATCTGTTAACAAATCCTATGAATTAAAACAAACAAACCAATTTCATAGGCAATTGTGCAAACGCCCCACTTATACGTGGGCCAGAACAGGTTGAGAGGGCTGATCAGGGATCCTGCAGAAGTAATGAAGGCCAGGGGAACGAGTAAAGTGCCGGGAATTGACCTGATTTCTGGCCAGGGTAGGGCCTGGGACTACTTATTTCCAGGGCCTTATGACAATTTTGAAGAGGCATGTCGGCTGGAAACCTGTGTTACAACGTGGAGGAGGAATGAGGAAATGAACAAGGTGCTAGTTGGGCCTTTATTAAAGGCTAGTTGTTCTGTAATAAAATTTACCACCCGCAAGTCTAATGAGGTCTCTAGGCAGTCACCCAGCAGTATTAAAATCTTGTCTCTGTTAGCATAATTGTAAGATTATTACAATCCTACTCCAGGAAGCTTTTAGAAAAGGGACAAACAAGAGCAAAACACAAAAGCCAAGTCATCCAGACATGTGGATGTTGCAAAGTCTCTCTTATTCTATAAGCTGACACCCAAAACTCCTGATTATGCTACTTCACCCAAACCATTCTCATTCAGTCCAGTTTATGATTACTGAATTGGTTTGGGCACCTCCTCCAGCCTAGAAGTACTAGAACAATATGTTATACACTTTTGATTTTTAGACCATTATGCTGTGCCATTATAAGGAAGAGGTATTGTTGTGTCAGTTTCCTTTATAAACATGTGTAGATTGCAAGATCCACATGGTTGTGGTCATGGGAGTAGCATTAAGAGACAACCAGGCTTTTAGATAGTAAGAGGAGGGCCTTTTCAGGAGCAGCCTATCCACTGGGGAATTCCTTACACCAAGTAGGTTTTGTATCCCTTGGTTTTTTCATACTTGACTCTAAAGCCAGTTTCATATCACTGTGAGTAAATATTAGGAATCAGAACTATTTGGCTAACTATATTTTAATTACTTGGCAGACTCCTAGCTGGGAGTTGAAGCACAATTCTTTCCCTCATTTGTGTTCTATATCGACAGGTTGCTAGACGCTGTTGGTCAGGCAACAAGAATGCTTATGAAACCATCTGCCAAGCCATGGAGAAAGAAGAGAAACTCAAGGTGACTCTTCCCCATCAGGTGGTTAATGTCAACATCCTGGAGCAAGCCCTTCAGTCTTAACCTTACAGTGGGCTTCTAGTCTGCCTTATAACATTGCTCTTTCCCCTGCAATAAATCCCAGTTTGTGATATAATAAAAGCTTCTTTGAATCTGTCTTCTAGTTTATCTATTTTCTTAGTTTTGATTTGAGTAATGCAGCAGTTCCACTGAGGGAAATCACTGTTTTAATGATGATGATGATGATGATGATGATGATGATGATAATAATAATAATAATAATAATAATATACTCTATTTATATTCCGCTTTATCTGCCCAGAGACATTGAACATTTGCCTTATATGTGTACTGTAATTCACTCTGAGGGCCTTTCCACACAGACCTATATCCCAGAATATCAAGGCAGAAAATCCTAAAAAATCCTAACCCCATTTGGTTAAATGCCAATATTGATGCACTGGTTTGATGCCTATGAACAAAATAACCATTAGATTGCAAAATAAGAAGCTCAGCGATGCTCGCTGGGGAGTCCAAAAACCATCCTTTTCATGCTCTTGTTTAAAAAGATTACTTCCAGCTCTTTCAAATCTGCAAGTCTTTACAAGGGTTTCTGTTCCATGGGTCTGTGCCAGTGGAATGTGGTTCAAGCTATGCTCTTACTCAATCATCCAACATTGACTAGCCCAAGCTAGCTCTATAAGAAAGCATGAAGACTTCTGATTCCCAGCACTACGGGTGTTTGTTTTTCATAAAGATTTCATAACAGAATAAACACATTAGTGAGCACAATTCCTCATGTAGTTTTAACATATCAAAATTACAAAGGCAAAGCCAACTGTGGAATATTTACGAGGTGCAGAGGCCTTTTTCATGACTGAAGTGACACTGTGTGCATTCAGTATTGAAGAGACTGTTTGATGAAAGTTCACCAGTAGGTTTCAGCAGAAAAGATATCAAATCCTGATTCAGATAATAATGTCTTGAGCTGTTCAACATTCCTTTGGTCCATTCCTTTGGTCCAATTTTACAGTGGACCTTGGTACCTACTGAGGTATGCCTAAATGTGTGAATGCTCAAGTCTCTGAATATATAATAGCATAGGGCCCTTCCACACAGGCACAACTTGCCATTGGAACCAGCATAAAAATGCTGGTTCTGATCTGCATTGAGGTCAGACTAGGCTGTTCTGAGCTGCTCCATGGCAGGACAGCAGCCTTACAGCCCAGCAGTGTCTTTCTACACTCTCTACACTCCAATTCCACCCCAAACTACAGAAAATGCTCCTTACCATTGCTGCTGTATGTCCTGATTCTGTGCCATTCTGGAAGCAATGGAGCCTGGGAGCAGCAAGCTCCTTCTCCTTCTCCAAAGCTCCATTGCTTTCTGCATGACACAAATGCAGGAAGTACAGTCACCTTAGCAACTTTGAGGAATTTATTGGTAGTTTTGGAGGGAATTGGGTTGCAGGGAAAGTTATAGCCTGATCAGGCTGCAGAGATGGCTGCTTAATCCCAGGGATTGTGGGACAGCTGTGGGGATGTGACCTCAGATCCTGCATGGGGATGCAAAATGACAGTCTTCACTGCTGAAACATTGGGAAAGATTCGGATCTTGATGGATGATTTGGATTGTTACTGGTGTCAAGTCGGATTAATTAATTGTGTTCATTGTGGGGATGCATCAGGCAATGTAGTAGCTGGCAATGCAGACACAGCCTTATTTGGTTTGAAAATTGTGAATCGATTTGTACAGTGTTCAGAAATCAAAATACAAAACCAGGATTAAATTGCCTCATGGTTTACATCTAACTGATAGACCCCCATACCGATTTATTGCTGATGCTATCAACCCGCACCCTCAACATCCCTCTTTGGGTCAGCTCAAAACCATGCACCAAACTTGTAAACAGTTCACAGTGTGATTGGCTTGAAGACTAGAGGACATCCCAGTGGCACTGTTTTGCTTACAATCCTGTCGGCTCATCAGCTGTGTTTGCTGTTGGAGGGAGCGATATCCCAGCCAAATGATCTGTGAAGTACATGCTGTGCTTAATCTGAACTGCTTTGAGTAGGAAAAAAACCCTGCCAAATAAAACACAACCACCAGTTAAGTAGCTTACACAGCCTGAAGTAAAAAAAATGTACTGGTAAAATGATTTGGGATTTTGCCACGGTTTTCAGTGGATACAAAAGCAGTGTCTGAATAAAATACATTTCCCCCGTTGTTTCAGTTTCAGAGAAGATATTATGGTTGTAAGAAATACATCACATTAACATTGACCACGTTTCTGAACTGAAATACACTGCACTGTGTGGACATTCTCATAAATGTTAGAAAACCAGCCTCTGCCACGAAGTACTAATCTGGCTTTCAAAAAAGACGCTGACAGCCAGTACATAGTTGGTCCTCCACATTTTGTGGTTCTGACTTTTTGCCAATTTAAAAATGTTCTCTCTAGGAATTTCTAGATCCTCCAACATGATTTTATGAACACTTGTCTAGCATGACCATAGAGTCATGCTAGACAACCTAGAAATTCCAAGAGAGGTTTCTCTAGTTGCAGCCTGGTTGGGGTGTAACTCCCATCCACCCATGACCTGATTATACTGTAACTCCCATCAGTCTCACATCTGGCTGCTGCAACTCCCACTATCTCTGGTTTGCCCAGGCGTTAACCCCCATCAGCCCCAGATCTGGCTAGGATGAAACTCGTGGCTGTCCTCCTAACTGATCAGATGGCTCAACCTTCTTGCTGGGCTGTAACTCCCATCATCCCCAGCCTACGTAGCGAAGGGTGTTTATTTATTTATTTACTGTATTTGTATACCGCCTTTCTCAGCCCGTAGGCGACTCAAGGCGGTTAACAGGGCAAAATTCAATGCTTACAATGTCATAAATATAATTAAAAATGTAAGATATAATAAAAACTAAACAAATTAATAATATATAAATTCATAGTGTCTCCTTGTTAAAAATGTTGTCCGGACTCATTGTCTAGTTCAATGATTCTCAACCTGGGGTCCCCAGATGTTTTTGGCCTACAGCTCCCAGAAATCCCAGCCAGTTTACCAGCTGTTAGGATTTCTGGGAGATGAAGGCCAAAAACATCTGGGGACACTAGGTTGAGAACCACTGGTCTAGTTGTTCCATTTTCCTGTGTCAATTACTCTGCATTTGTAAATGCTTGTTCAAAAAGCCACATCTTGACTTTTTTTCCAGAATGTTAAAAGGGAGGTGGCCGATCTAATATCTATAGGGAGAGCATTCCACAGTCGAGAGGCCACCACCAAGAAGGCCCTGTATGTATGTAGCACAATGCAGCCTGGCAAGTAGGCTGAGCTGTATGACTGGTGATGAGCTGCAAGATACGGCTCTCTGGATGTGGTCGGACTAACTTCCATTATCCTCTATCAGACCTCCCAAAACCTCACCAGTATTTTAAGTTGAGTCATGAAGGGTACGTGTGCACCAGATTTGTTTCAGATCAATCTTTTTTTGGATTTACACAGTCCTCAGCATGTGGCTGGACTCCAATTTCCATCTTCTTTAATCAGGCCGCCCCCAATGCAACCAGTACTTTTTGTTGGATAATAAGGGGTATGTGCTTCAAATTTCAACAAGATCCATCAAGTCACGTAGGAGCCTTTGCGGTTCAAACATACATTCATAGTATGTTGACATTTATATATATCTATAGATAAGTGTTCCACATTGACCTAGGACTATAGAAGACCAAGGTAATTTAATTAACTTTCACAAATTTTTAGAAACATTTTAATAAGGGATTAAGCAAGTTTCTTCTACAGAATTTGGTATTTCACTATTCTGTTTCAATAACAGAAACATGTAGAGATTTTAAGTTCAAGCTCTCAGAAGTATGCTGCTCACTATACAACTGTATAGTTTTGCAAAGTGATGTAGCACCACCTGCTGTTTGAGTAACATTATAGCAAAACTTTTGCAATTGTGGTAATGTATTTCCCAACAGTCAATCAAATATTGCCAAGATTTTATGGGAAGTTAATGGTACAGTTCAGACAAAGCTTTGCATACATTTCATGTTGTTGTTCATTTGTTCAGTTGTTTCTAACTCTTTGTGACTTCATGGCCCAGTCCACGCCAGAGCTCCCAGTTGGCCGTCACCACCCCCAGCTCCTTCAAGGTCAATCCAGTCACTTCAAGGATCCCATCCATCCATTTTGCCCTTGGTCGGGCCCCTCTTCCTTTTTCCTTCCATTGTCCCCAGCATCGTCTTCTCTAAGCTTTCCTGTCTCCTCATGGTGTGTCCAAAGTACTTCAACTTTGTCTCTAATATCCTTCTCTCCAATGAGCAGTTGGGCTTTATTTCCTGAAGTATGGGCTAGTTGGATCTTCTTGTGATCCAAGGCACTCTCAGAACTTTCCTCCAACACCACAGTTCAAAAACATCTATCTTCCTCCGATCAGCCTTCCCTATGGTCCAGCTCTCACATCCGTAGGTGACTATGGGAGATACCATTGCTTTAACTATGCGGATCTTTGTTGCCAGTGTGATGTCTCTATTTTATCGAGATTGGGCATTGCTCTCCTCCCAAGAAGTAAGTGTCTCCTGATTTCCTGGCTGCAGTCTGCACCTGCAGTAATCTTCATGTCTGGAAGTACAAAGTCTGTCACTGCCCCCACTTTCCTCCCTCTATTTCCCAGTTTCAATCATTCTTGTTGCCATAATCTTGGTTTTTTTAATGTTTAACTGCAACCCAGCTTTTGCGCTTTCTTCTTTCACCTTGATTAGAAGGCTCCTCAGCTCCTCCTCACTTTCGGCCATCAGAGTGGTGTCATCTGCATATCTAAGGTTGTTAATGTTTCTTCCAGCAATTTTAATCCCAGCCTTGCAGTTGTCAAGCCCCGTGCATCGCATGATGTGTTCTGCATACGAGTTGAATAGGTTGGGTGAGAGTATACAACCCTGCCGTATGCCTTTCCCAATCTTGAACCAGTCTGTTGTTCCATGGTCAGTTCTTACTGTTGTTACTTGGGTCCTTATATAGATTCCTCAGGAGAGAGACAAGGTGATTTGGCATGTGCATACCACCAAGAACTACATCTCATACATGGAAGAATTTCACATTTCAAGTAGATAATTCCCATTATTTCCGTTTTCAGAGGTGCTCTGGCACCATACAAACACAACAGAAAAGTGTGAGCATAAGAACAATATTGTCCTCCCAAATTGTAGCATTTGGAAAGACAACAGATTTATATACAAGCATCTTGGTATCCTTATGAATGTCCCGATCCTAAAACACTTTCTGCTTCATTAAAAAAATGCTGCACTTGCACAGTTCAGATGGTGTTGTATTACAGTGTCAATGCTGAGTTTTATGGAGAGGTGGTTGCCAAAGTAGTGGAAATGGTTAACATTTTCCAGTGTTACACTATTAAGCTTTATTAATGGCATTGCAGGGGAATTGGTTGGCAGAGCACATTTTCTCGAAGTTCAGGGGCAGATCAAACTTTTTGTTTGATCTGCAAAGATGTTTAAAGTGGCTTGTAGGTCTTCTTCTGAGTGAGCACATTATCATCAACATATTGGACTTCTATAACAGATGTTGTTGTGAACTTGGTTTTGGCTTTCAGTCTGCTGAGTGAGGTTAAATAGTTTGCAATCTGTCTGATAGATGATTTCCACACCAGTAGTGGCGCAGTGGGTTAAAGCACTGAGCTGCTGAACTTGTTGATTGAAAGGTCACAGGTTCAATTCCGGGGGGTGGCGTGAGCTTCCGCTGTCAGCCCTAGCTTCTGCAAACCTAGCAGTTCGAAAACATGCAAATGTGAGTAGATCAATAGGTACCACTCCGGTGGGAAGGTAACGGTGCTCCATGCAGTCATGCCGGCCAGATGACCTTGGAGGTGTCTACGGACAACGCTGGCTCTTCGTCTTAGAAATGGAGATGAGCACCACACCCCAGAGTCAGACATGACTGGATTCAATGTCAGGGGACTACCTTTACCTTTTAGTAGTAGTTTATTCGATGCTTAGACCATAGATCTTTCACATACAAGGAAAGGCAAATAAATAAGTAATGAACGCCAGATTATTAAATACAATATAAAATACACAATAAAATCCTATAAATAATTAAAATGCTACATACAAACTGTTGGAGGGACGGATTATAATTTGAAAAAAAATGCATGAATTCCTATGCACACTGCACATATCTTATTTGTAGTGCAAAAAACATTTTAAAACAATACAATAATTAAAATGAAAAACAATTTAAACAAATATCAACTTATTAGTATTATAGTGGGAAGTGTGTGCCTGCTTTTGGCTGATGAGATAGGGTTGTTGTTGAGGTTGTTGTTGTATGCTTTCAAGTAGTTTCAGACTTAGGTTGACCCTGAGCGAGAGCCGGGTAAATGACCTTGGAGGGCCGTATTCGGCCCCCGGGCCTTAGTTTGAGGACCCCTGCCCTAGAGAGAGAGCAAGCCTTTTCCATCGACTCCGTTCCAGGAGAGAATCCATGCTTCCGGGCTTCCCTCCCTGCCGCGGTGCCGGGCTCCAGGACTTCCGTTCCGTGATTCCAGTCCAGGCTTTCCCATTGGCTGGCTAGGCTCCGCCCCCAGCTCCGGTTTCAGCTGCGGCGCTGCTACAGGGACCCCCAAGATGGAAACGCAGGGGCTGCCTGCCGCCTTGGAGCCCGGCGCCCGGCAAGATGGCGGCGAGGGAGGCCTGGCGGGCGACGGGGCTCCTTCTTCTTCTCCCTCCTCTTCCTCAGGGCCGGCTCCGCGGCAAGCGGCGCCGGGAAGCTGGGGCCTGGACGTGACCTTCCCCGTTCTCTTGTTACTGGAAGGGAAGAAGCTGCCGGAGCCGCCGCCTCCTCAGCCGCCGCCATTGCCCTCGTTGCCTCAGCCGCCTGCGGAGGCCGGAGGAGGAGGGGAAGCAGAAGGCCTCGGGCCGCCCCCGCCGCCGGCTCCAGACAACGACGCCCTGCTCCTGGTGGTGAATTTAGTGCGGGACGCGGCCTCGAAGGAGGCGCCTAAGCCGGAGCCTCCCTCGGAGGAAGAGAAAGGCGAGGGGGAGGCGGAGGGGGAGAAGGCGAAGGAGGCGTCCTTCTCGGGGACGCTCACCATCAACAACCAGAGCCTCCTGGTGCGCTTCGAGAACGGCCTCCTCAGCCTGGGAGGCCCCGCCGCGCATGCGCAGCCCTCGCCACCCCCTGCTCGAGCTGCGGCCTCCGCCTCCTCCTCGGCGTCGTCGTCGTCGTATCCGTGCCCGGAGCCGCGCTGCGATGAGGCCTTCTCCCGCAAGCAACTCCTGCGCCTCCACCGCTTGTCGGCCCACGGAGGCGCGGAAGGGGAAGGGGAAGCAGACGCGTCCCGGCCGGCGCCGCCCCCTCCGCCTCGGCCTTTCTGCTGCCCGGTTCCCGGCTGCGCCTGGGCCTTCGCCACGGCCTACAAGCTCCGGCGGCACCTCCACTCGCACGACAAGCTGCGGCCCTTCGCCTGCCCGGCCCCCGGCTGCGCCAAGCGCTTCACCACCGTCTACAACCTGCGGGCGCACGGGCGGGCCCACGAGGCCGAGGCGGCGGCCCACAAGTGCGAGGCCTGCGGGCAGCGCTTCCCCAGCGGCGCCCGCCTCGCCGCCCACCGCCGGCGCAGCCACCTCCAGCCCCCGCGGCCCTACCGATGCGAGTTTCCCGGTAAGGCAGCGCCAGGCACCTTTTCGTGGGGATCAGGCATGGGAGGGAATTCCACCTAGAGAGTGACAGGGGCCAGCCCTACCATTAGTCAGAGTACAATGAATTAAGCGGAAGATGATGGGAAACTGCAGCAAAGAACAGGAGAAGACACAAGTGAGCATCATGTGATATCTCCTATACCCAAGCATGTAGCGGGCTTGACCCCCCCCCCCCCGAAATTCTCATGGTGGTCCCCGAGAAGGCCTTACTGGTACATTATTTAAACTTATGTTTATTCATATCATGATCTGATCACCATGCTCAATATATCCCATATGCATGGGGCTATTGGGATAACGATACAAAAGGTTTGCTAGGGGAGACCCTCTTTCACTCAAACTCAGCCCCCCCCCCCCCCCCTGAAACAAAATCCTGGCTACGGGCCTGGTGGGGATAATGCAATGGGTCCCAACATTTGGGTCTCCGGGTGTTTTGGACTTCAACTCCCAGAAATCCCAGCCACTGTACCAGCTGGTAGGAACCATGGGAGCTGAAGTCCAACACGCCTGAAAGACCAAAGGTTGGGAACCACTGGGGTAATGGATGGAGCCCACCGTGGCGCAGTGGGTTAAATCCTTGTGACAGTAGGACTGATGACTTCAAGGTTGGGTTGCTGACCTGAAGGTTGCCAATTCTAACCCAACCCGGGGAGAGTGCGGATGAGCTCTCTCTATCACAACCTGGGGGTCAGGACACCTAGGGGGGTCGTGAGAGGGTGTCAGAAGGGTATCACACACCATCAGAAAACACAGCATTTTTTGTTGGCCATGGGGGTTCTGTGTGTGAAGTTTGGCCCAATTCTATAGTTGGTGGAGTTCAGAATGCTCTTTGATTGCAGCTTAACTATAAATCCCAGCAACTGCAACTCCCACATGTCAAGGTCTATTTGTCCCAAACTCCACCGGTGTTCACTTTTGGCATATTGAGAATTTTTGTGAAGTTTGGTCCAGATCCATCATTGTTTGCATCCACGGTGTTCTTTATTATTATTATTATTATTATTATTATTATTATTAACTTTATTTATACCCCGCTAACATCTCCCGAAGGACTCAGTGCGGCTTACAAAAGGCCAAGGCCCTCAATAAAACAACAGCATAACAAATACAACAATAAAACCCATAAAGCAAAACAATAAACATAAAGCAATAACAATAAACATTAAAACAATAACACCATGACGCATTTAAAACTAAAGGCTGGACCAAATGTAATGAATCAAATTTTAAAAGTGCTGGACATGACAGGTAGAATGTATAGGTTTTTAGAGGTAGGTGCGGTGTGCAGACAATCTTAAATCTCTAGTAAAGTGCATTTGGGACATGATGCTGGGAGTTTCCTATTCTGGAAAGGCACACTGGAACAGCCACGTCCTCAAGCTCTTCCTAAAGACTACCAACGTTGGGCTTGTCTGATGTCCTTGGAGAGAGAGTTCCAGAGTAGGGGGGCTACCACAGAGAAGGCCCTGTCTCTCGTCCCCACCAAACGCGCTTGTGACGCAGGTAGGATCGTGAGCAGGGCCTCTCCAGATGATCGGAGGGATCGTGTGGGTTCATATACGGAGATGCGGTCATGCATCTTCAAGGTTGGGTTGCAGACCTGAAGGTTGCCAATTTGAATCCAACCCAGGGAGAGTGCAGATGAGCTCTCTCTATCACAACCTGGAGGTCAGGACCCCTGGGGGGGCGTGAGAGGGTGTCAGAGGGCTCATCAAAGACCATCAGAAAACACAGCATTTTCTGTTGACCATGGGAGTTCTGTGTGTGAAGTTTGGCCCAAATCTATAGTTGGTGGAGTTCAGAATGCTCTTCAATTGCAGCTTAACTATAAATCCCAGCAACTACAACTCCCAAATGTCAAGGTCTATTTGTCCCAAACTCCACCAGTGTTCACTTTTGGCATATTGAGTATTTGTGTGAAGTTTGGTCCAGATCCATCATTGTTTGCGTCCACAGTGCTCTCGGGATATAGCTGAACTATAACTCCAAAACTCAAGGTCAAAGCCTACCAAACCCTTCCAGTATTTTCTGATGGGCATGGGAACTCTGTGTGCAAAGTTTGGCCCAATTCTATAGTTGGTGGAGTCCAGAATGCTCTTTGTAGGTTAACTGTCAATCCCAGCAACTACAACTCCAAAATCACAAAAGCAATCTCCCAAATCCCCCAATTTGGGCATATTGGGTATTTGTGCCAAATTTGTTCCAGTGAATAAAAATACATCCTGCATCTCAGATATTTACATTACGATTAATAACAGTAGCAAAATTTGAGTTATGAAGTAGCAGTGAAAATAATTTTATGGTTGTGGGTCACCACAACATCAGGAGCTGTATTAAGAGGTTGTGGTATTAAGAAGGTTGTGAACCACTGCTCTATCAGCTCCAGCTCCATGTGAGGACATGATAGAAGCCTCCCAGAAGGATGGTAAAAACATAAAAAAAAACATCTGGGCGCCCCTGGTCAACATTGTTGCAGACGGCCAATTCTCTCACACCAGAAGCGACTTACAGTTTCTCAATTTGCTCCTAACATTAAAAAAATGAATGGATCATGACCTGTTAGGATTGCAACCTGTCAGGGGTAGCAGGGGTTGAAAGGAGTATTCCTTGAGTTTATTTGGTTGGTTTAATTTGTTGAGACTCTAATAACAACAACAACAATAATAATATATTTGTAACCTGCCCTATCTCCCCAAGGGGACTCAGGGCAGTTTCCAGAACAGAAGTTCTGCTCTCAGTCTCACGTTCTTCACAGGTGCGGCGGACACAGGTGAGCCACCACTGAGAAGGGACAGGGCCTTCTCAGTGATGGCTCCTAGGCTGCGGAACTCCCTTCTCAGTGAAATTAGATTGGCACCTTCTCTCCTATCCTTTAGAACAGTGTTTCTCAACCTTCCTAATGCTGCAACCCCTTAATATAGTTCCTCATGTTGTGGTGACCCCCAACCATAAAATTATTTTCATTGCTACTTCATAACTGCAATTTTGCTACTGTTATGAATCATAATGTAAATATCTGATATGCAGAATTCATTTTCATTCACTGGACCAAATTTGGCACAAATACTCGATACCCCCAAATTTGAATATTGGTGGGATGGGGGGAGGGGGAATTGAGTTTGTCATTTGGGAGTTGTAGTTGCCGGGATTTATAGTTCACCTACAAGTCAAAGAGCCCCTGGAACCCCCACCAATGATAGAATTGGGTCAAATTTGAAAATACTGGAGGGATTTAGGAGGAATTGACAGTGATTTAGGGGAGAACACACCTATTCTCCCCTAAACGCCGTCTGTTTTCAAAAAGGAAGAGAAGGATAGGCGGAGAGATTTTCAGCCATCTCTGCCAAAGGGGTTCCTAAACCATCCGAAATACGTTTTCTTATGGTCTTTGGTGACCCTTCTGAAACGCACTCATGACCCCTCCAGAGGTCCCGACCCCTGGGTTGAGAAACACTGCTTTAGAAAATAAGTTAATACCTGGATTTGGAACCAAGCATTTGGAATGTATTTATATAAGTAGCACAGGGTTATATACAGCTACGAAGTGAATAGCAATGTGATTGGAACGGCTTCTGGATTATGATTTTTAGTAACGGTGACACCTTTGCTTTCTGATAATCATAGTAATAGCAGTTGTTATTACAGTGGTATAGAATCATAGAATCAAAGAGTTGGAAGAGACCTCATGGGCCATCCAGTCCAACCCCCTGCCAAGAAGCAGGAATATTGCATTCAAATCACCCCTGACAAATGGCCAGCCAGCCTCTGCTTAAAAGCTTCCAAAGAAGGAGCCTCCACCACACTCCGGGGCAGAGAGTTCCACTGCTGAACGGCTCTCACAGTCAGGAAGTTCTTCCTAATGTTCAGATGGAATCTCCGCTCTTGTAGTTTGAAGCCATTGTTCCGCGTCCTAGTCTCCAAGGAAGCAGAAAACAAGCTTGCTCCCTCCTCCCTGTGGCTTCCTCTCACATATTTATACATGGCTATCATATCTCCTCTCAGCCTTCTCTTCTTCAGGCTAAACATGCCCAGCTCTTTAAGCCACTCCTCATAGTACTTGTTCTCCAGACCCTGATCATTTTAGTCGCCCTCCTCTGGACACATTCCAGCTTGTCAATATCTCTCTTGAATTGTGGTGCCCAGAATTGGACACAATATTCCAGATGTGGTCTAACCAAAGCAGAATAGAGGGGTAGCATGACTTCCCTAGATCTAGACACTATGCTCCTATTGATGCAGGCCAAAATCCCATTGGCTTTTTTGCCGCCACATCACATTGTTGGCTCATGTTTAACTTGTTGTCCACGAGGACTCCAAGATCTTTTTCACACGTACTGCTCTCGAGCCAGGCTCACCCATTCTGTATCTTTGCATTTCATTTTTTCTGCCAAAGTGGAGTATCTTGCATTTGTCACTGTTGAACTTCATTTTGTTAGTTTTGGCCCATCTCTCTAATCTGTCAAGATCGTTTTGAATTCTGCTCCTGTCCTCTGGACTATTTGCTATCCCTCCCAATTTGGTATCCCTCCCAATTTGGTAGTTATTGTTATCACAGTTGAGCATCCTATATATGAAATTCTTACAGTCCAGAATCTCAAAATAGTGAGACCGTTGCTTTCTGATAATAGTAACACTGGCCAACACCAATTTTGGTCCCTCAAATGTTAGACCTGTTTCTGGGTGTATTTAACCGGCTGATTCCAAAAATGGGACCAGTTTTCCTCCATCCGTCCTAATTTTTGAGATACAAAACATACGACTTTTTAAAGCTGCTATCTGCTTGCCCATAGAAAACCATGATAAACTATAAGAAACTAGAGCTGATGCAGTTTATCCAATGCAATTTTCTGACTCTGCATCTCAAATAACTCCAGGAACAGACCGAAAACCCAAGACACCAAAAGAACATTTTTGTTGTTGGGCTATGTTACCTGGAATCCTTAAAGTCCAAAACTACATTCTTTCATATAACAATAATAGTAGTTGTTATCACAGTTAAAGCATCCCTTTCTGGAATTCCTATAGACCAAAATTGGAAAATAGTCATGCCTTGCTTTCTGATCATGATGATGATGATGATGATGATAATAATAATAATAATAATAATATGTAATCCTAGAGTTTGAAGAGACCCCCAACCCTATTCTGCAACGCAGGAACACATAATCAAAGCACTCCTGACAGATGGCCTCTGTTTAAAGATCTCCAGTTGTATTCAGTTTGTCCAAAATTTATGTTGATGCATTGGGATGAAATGAGGTATTTCTTAGAAGCCTTGCTCAATCTTTCCTCCACATGGTCATAATAGCTGCGGCTGGTAGAATATAGGTATAGGTAGTCCGGCATGAATTGCAGAGTGTCCCAAGGCATATGAATGAGACAAGCACTTGCCCATTACCATATTGGACTACTGAGAAATTAGATGTGGAAGACAAATGCTATTAACCCAATGAAGAAACTTAGTCAAGATTGGGAAAAAAAGAAAAACCCCACAGCAGCTTTTAGAACTAGGTATAATATTGAACAACTGAAAGAAAAATATTTGATAACTTAATTTAGAACCTCTTTGACTATAGCTGTTCCCTTAAAGAAAATGATAATTTCCATAATGTTTTCTAGAGTTTTGTGAATACTAACCACGGTTGCATTCTTTGTGCCTTCTTTCCTCTTGGAACACAGTTTGATCTTTCCCTTTTTTCTAGGTTGTGAGAGGACCTTCATAACAGTGAGTGCATTATTTTCTCATAATCGAGTCCACTTCAGGGAACAAGAATTATTTTCCTGCTCTTTCCCGGGTTGCAACAAGCAGTATGACAAAGCCTGCCGACTAAAAATCCACATGAGAAGTCACACAGGTGTGAGCTAGTGTAATAATTAAATGTATTTCACATATAAGCAATAAGTGAATTAAAAGGTATCTGTTTCTTGAAAGGCTCATTTTTTTCTAGGCCTCTAGGGAATCTACACTGCCATATATAATCCAGATTATTTGCTTTGAATTGGATTATATGGCTGTGTAGATGGCGCCTCAGTCTTCTGCTGTTAAAGAATCAAATAATTAAACTCAAAGCTGTATTCACACAAAATGCAAAGGAAGGATTCACCAGAACTCAAAAGCAAGTGTTTGTACCTACTGTTCAGTCATTTTGGCTCCTGTAAGTAGGAGGGTAGCAAAAAAAATAAAAATAAAAAGAGAGAGAGAGAGAGAGAAATGAGAAGAAATGCTGGGAGAAGGGATGCTTGATACATGACTAGAATTTATTTTAAAATTGATGAATCAGTAGTCGATAGAGCCTTTTAAGCTTGTAAGTACTATAAAATGATGCCGCCAGGAGTAAGGGTGAATATGGGTTAGTAACTAGAAATAGCTAAATAATGTCAAATTAATCTAACTGAGCTGTTATGGGGAGATGATGATGATGATGATGATGATTATTTATTATCCAGGAATAAATCTGATAAAAATGATACAGCATAATTTCAGAATGAGATTGTTGCTTTTCCCCCTTCTAGATAATAAGACAGTCAAAATCTTTATTTTTTTCTTCAGGTGAAAGGCCTTTCATCTGTGACTTTGAAGGTTGTGGTTGGTCTTTCACTAGCATGTCAAAGCTATTAAGACACAAAAGGTAAAGTCTTGATTATCTGTATTGATACAGAGGACCAAATGCACAGTTCCTTGTGTCCTCGCTAATATAAAATACATTTAATTGTTGCAGGAAACATGAAGATGACAGGAGATTTACATGTTCTGTAGAAGGCTGTGGGAAATCATTCACAAGAGCTGAACACTTGAAAGGCCATAGTATAACTCATCTTGGGACAAAGCCGTTCGAATGCCCAGTAGAAGGTAATGGTGGTATTTGTGAATGGGTATATTCCCTTTTTCTTCCTTGATTGTTCATTGTGTGGAGAGAGACAGAGTTGATTAAATTATAGCAGTCTTGTGCATCAGGATTGGGTTGCTGCTGAATCATAATTCTAAGAGGAAGGCTTATCAAGGCACAATGGAAAGAAAAGAGCTGGTAATTTTGACTCCAAATGCATAATCTCTCAATGACTAAGTTTTTCTTGTGAGGGAGGGAATTGCTGAATCCCGCACTGAAAAATAAACAGTTTGTTTAAAAAGCAGTTAAGCAGTTAAACAGAAGCAGATGCTTCAGGGGCAACACTGGTACACAGAGGCTGCATTTCCCCACCCAGGCATTAAAAAAACCAGAAGCAGTGCCATGATGAGGGTACAGGAGGCATTGCATTTTTAGGTTTTTCCAGAACGTACTAAGAGTACTCCTGGATCTGCTCCTCCAAATGTAAGCTCAGGTAGATGCGATGGTCATGAGTGCTTACAACCAACTTCCTCTGATATGCCAACTGGACTTCTGCAGTGCTTTACATTAAACTTTGTGGCTTGCATTCTTCCCAGTTTTCCAAGTTACCTGGATTCTTATTGTATTGATGAAAGTTGTTCAGTAAGGACATTGCTAATCATGTATTAGACAAAGGGAAATGAGGTCTATCTTGACAGGGAAAGCATGATTACTTGCCATCTTATTTTTAACTAGATCAATTTTGAAGTAAGGTCATGGGTCAGAATCATATTTTAGATTTAGTGTCTAAACCTCTCATCTTATTTCAGGTTGTTGTGCAAAGTTCTCAGCACGCAGTAGTTTGTACATTCACTCCAAAAAACACCTTCAAGATGTGGACTCGCTGAAGACGCGTTGCCCTGTTTCAAGCTGCAATAAAGTATTCACATCCAAGCATAGTATGAAAACTCATATGATCAAACAACACAACTTTAGTACAGGTACGAAGTGCTTAATGTGTTCTATTGTCTCCATTATGGCTCAAGGAGAATGTTATTTCAGATATCTTTTTGATGGACTTTTGCAATTACTTACAGCTTGCTTGCCATTAAAGTTGTTTTTGTGTGGATGGAAGAGCTTGAGTTGTGCTTCCTATGCGAATAACTCAAATTGAATGGTTACTGCAGCCTTCTGCAGGGATGCAGCACCTCTCACTTAGTCTAGCTGGCATGTGCAGAAAGCTCATTCAGATCCAATATAGCTTCATGTGGCATTGACTGTATGAAAGTGATTTTGAAAAGCAGCCATAAAACTGTGCAAAGATATAAATTAAGATTTAGTTTTACCAAAATGAGATAGAATTTCTGGTAGGAAACAAATAGCCTTAGGGATCAAGATCAAGCAAGCTGAAAGTAGCCATAGTGACAGAGAGAAATGGCTTAATAGCAGAGTTTGGCAACATGGATTACTACCTGACAGGAGGGGTTTTGGCAGGTTTAATTAGGACAGTTGACTATTGGAAATTGGGAGCATGGCCAGGTAGAGGCAGTGTTTTGTATTCATTGTTGGATTTTTTAAAAACAGTTTTTAAATTGATAAATCAAACCATACAATTTGCCATTCTGGACACAAGGTGGCAGGAAAGGTATAACAAATGCATATACAATAAGTCCACTAAGACTGAAAAGTACACTAATTTGAAGACCACTGAAATTATTGCATGAATTGCAATGGAGTTTTACTGGGACAAATAGTTAAGGCTGTTTTTCTTTCTTTTTAATTATTACAAGGAAACTGGTGTCTGTTATCATTAACAAACAATGATACTAAGATTTGTTTATATTATAAAACACATTTTCTTGAAAAAAATATGTATGAATGAATATATTTTATATTAGGCTTTCCATTCATGTATGCTTTCCAGAATGGCTTCCAAGCATTGCAACATTCAAAAACATGCAGTCTGGAGCATTTCAACCAACCACATGAAAATGAACGATCACTGCCCAATAATCTGCAAATATCTTCCTGCACTCCCAGCTATACTGTGTTTCTTTTTCAAAGCCAAATCCAATCTAAACATTCCATATCCAGAAACCTCCAGTCAGTCCACTCACAACATGCCTTGCTTGTTGTAGGATGTATGGCCTTCACAACATTGCCCACCCCTACAATATAGCCAAAACATTGTACAATTAATAAATAAGTAAACAATACATTATCAAAATACCATACAAGCAATTCGGTGGTTCCATAGCTAGGATTCTGGTATGTGAGCAATAATATTATATACATTTAAGATACTTGTTGGATTGTGATTCTCGTTTCTCATGGGCAGGATGTAATGTGTTGGTTTTGTAAAATAACCATGACAAATCTTTTTCCCTCCAGATCTCTTAAATCAGATGGAAACTTTTGGTTCCCTCACACCTAGCAGTGAACTAGCCAATTCAGGACAGAGTGACCTCAGTAATGTAGATCTTGTGTCCCTCTTTTCCAATGCATCTGGGAACACTTCTGGAATATCGACTGATATGGCTCTGATAAACTCTGGAATTCTCACTATAGATGTTGCTTCTGTTGGAGCCACACTTGGAGGCAATCTTTCTGTTGGTAGCAATCCTCTTGGTCAGACGGTTGACCCGCTGATTCTAGTGGCTGGCAGTGACATTCCAAACAGCCTGGATAGCTCTCTTCTGTTGGGAACCACCACCACCGTTTTACAGCAAAGCACTTTAAGTTTGGATGATGTACAGAATGTAAATGCAGAAGCTCTAGGCTCCTTAGCTTCTTTGTCAGCAAAGAGTTCTAGTCAAGACTTGCATGGCTTACCTTCCGGCAATAATCTCTCCGTAGACACAGCCACTTTAACTCCGTCCAACAGCCTCACCGGAAACAGCGGATCTGATTTACTGGCTCCAAGTAGATCGGAACAGACTTTGCTTCCCAGCCTGGATGTTGTGGGGCAGCAAGAAGGCAGTAAAGTGGTGACTCAGTTTGTGTTCTCCAATCCCCCAGGAAGTTACAGTGCACAGAAAGAAACTGATCTGAGCTCCGTGACTGGCAGCTCTTTTCTGGTATGCAGTAACTCTCAATAACTAGTTTTCGTTCGTGTCTTAGCTTTGAGGATATTGTATGGCTATGTATGAGCCATCCTTTCTACCAGATCAAATGGGTTTGTGGAATGTCTTCCATGAATGAAGTCACACTATATTTTTTACAATGTGTGATAAAAATTGTGGTTGCCTGTGCAAGAGTTACACTATGTGCATCATACCTGGTGAAAAGAGTATATCCCCACTCCTGAGCTTAGTTTTATTACCTCTCCTCCCGAGTAGTTGTAAGTACTTAAACTCGGAAATGAGTGGATTAGGGTGGATTCAGCGGAAGAGGTGACTTTTCACTGCTTTTAGAACAAAAAGGAAAGGAGACTGTGAGATGTTCCCCTTTCAGTTTCCTATTTTTCTCTCATGTGTATTTTGCATTCATGATAACATGTGGGTTGCAGTCAAAAGTTAAGAACATTCATACTAGCATAGCATTTCCTATTGGGAACTGCATTGGGCAGTTGAGGAAGAACAAACTAAATGCTTAATATTTTATTGCATCTGCATTGTGTATTTTGAAAGTTGTTCCAGTGCTCTATGAACTGAAGTAAATATGTGGTTTCTTTTTCTTTTGTATCATTTGTTACCATCAAAATGTTAAACTGGTTAGCCAAGTTCATAGAGTTGGAAGATATCACATGGACTTTCCAGTCTAACTCCAGACAATGCAGGAAAATAACTGGATCTAACTGGTCTATCTAACTGGTAAATGGACTTCATTTTGGTCAGTGGAATTTCATATTCTTCTCCATTCTACAGCTCCATCTCCACATGTCTGCTCTAGAAGGTCCCATAGGTCTCTAGTACAGATTTTAAGGGTGCTGAAAACTGTGACAGGAAAGTGGAATAGATTTGAAAGATTTGAATATAACATAGTCTATGATATTGAGAGAAACGGCTAGGTTTCTATCAGTGTTGTTTAGGGGAAAATATATTTATGGTCTGAACCTTGGAGTCTTAATGTTTTGGTAACAAACAAACATTTTTTTCTCTTATCAGGAGAGTGGTGGGTCTGCAAGAACAGATTATCGAGCCATTCAGCTTGCCAAGAAAAGAAAACAGAAAGGAAGTGAGAATGACATTGGTAAGTACTGTTTCAGGAGATAATATCATTTCCACAAAGGAATACATTTAAGTGTTTAAACAAAACTGATGCAAGATTGTTATCTCATATCAGATAACAAATTAGTGTTATAGTGCCATGATTAGTTTTGTCTGTTCCAATAAGCGGAGCTCTAGGAAAAAGAAATCCCCTGTCTTTTCAATCTCTAAAGGTTTGTTTATTTATTTTTATCCCACCCTTTTCTTGTTATTGGTACTCACCAAATATGAAACAGTACAATTAAAACAATGCAAATGTATTACAATATAAATATAAAAATTACAAAAACCAAATGTTTTATGTCTTGAGACATAAAAATATTAAAGTATGTTTATATTAATATTAAGCAGGCCCTCTCCCTTGTTCCCATCAATTGTGCTTGACCTGGTGGTGAGCAGGCCTTCTCCAGATGATTGTAGAGTTCTAACAGGTTCGTAAAGATAAATACGGTCCTTCAAGCAACTTGTAAAAAGTTTCAAAAGTCATTAAAAAATTAGGAGGCGTTGGGGTTTTGTTTCAAGTGTTTCAAAAGAATCCTTAGTGAAAATTTCATTACTGTAACAGGAATAATGAAATTTTGTTACTTTTTCGTTAAGAGTAATTGCAGAAGTGGGGAAATTCAGGGGCTCCTTCCTCCTTCATTTTAACAGCTATTGGGATGAAACGTGCTACAATAGTAGAACACATTTACCACTGTTAGCCCATCAAGTTTCAGAACGTTTCACTTATCCACTTAGCTTTGGGGAATTTTCAAAGTTTTTGTAAATATTTTAAAAACTACAAGAGCTATCTCCTTGAATTTTCTATACAATGATACAAGATAACGGGATAATTCCCCCCAACTTTCAGAAATATTCCTATATCTATTGATTTTGGAGATTTTTTTAAAAAAAAGTTTTGACAAAAACTTTTTTGTGTTTTTTTAAAGTCACAACAGCTATCTCATTGAATGTCTCTCATATTAACCAACAGAACTTCCATTTAGGAATTTCCTCCCAGCCCAGCATAGCGATGTACTTACTAGAAGTATCATTCAGTCCTCCTCTTTGCAGGTTCAACAATTTATTGGAACTCTGTTGGGCTGCTGCTACAGAGGGACAGATCTCTCCCCTATCTTTATTGGGGCTTTCAGATGCAGAGCAGAATTCTGGGAACTGTAATTTAGGGCAGGGCCTTTTGAATCCTCTGGCATAGGGCTTCTCGCCTTCCCAAACTACATTTCCCAGAATCCTGTGCTTTTTCAGTCTCTTTCCCAGTTCACTCTGCTTTCTCCCTGCTGCTTCCCTCTCCTAATGGCGAGAGGCTATTAATTTAAAGAGGAAAGGCAGCCTTTCTGGCTTTGCTTTGCTCGCTTGCGCTGAAAATAAAACTGACTTTGGGAGGCTTCCGAGATTTACAAAATTAAAAAGAAAAAGTATTGGGTAAGTTTTGATTCTTATGTTTTTGGCACAGGCTATGCCCGCACGTTGGCTATTGCGTAATAGGTATAAATTTAATAAATTTCATATGACTTAACAACGAAAAAATTTCACACCCCTATTTCACATAGAACTCTTTAAAAAAGTAATATTTTTAAATGTAATAGTTTCATACAGAGAACTTACCTCAGAACATGGTTTTACATTATGTCACATAACTTAATTTCAGGAATCCCTAACTGTGGCATAAGAAAAGGCAAAAGTGATAAAGTTAGTTCTTGTAGCCATGGGAGTCGGCTATGCAACAGTGTTTTACCAAATGGAAATCTGACTGTGAGAGATGCATCAGCTGGTACACAGTTTGTTCAAATTCAGCTGCTTCAGGTAAGAAAATTGTACCTAATGTATGGAATTTTTCCTTATCATTTCTATAGGAAATGTTTAAGATAAATCTGACTTTAACATATTAGAGACTGATGATTTTCACAGTGTACAAGGCTGCATAAATGTCTAGTGCAATACTGCACACTTGAAAAATTCTTTATATACTTTTTTCTTTTCAGTCACAGGACAGATTTTTATTTCTTATTATTGTATTTATTGGAAACAGATTGCTTTGAAATATTTGTGTGAATGGGGCTAGAAGCTAGCAATAAAGCTGCAAATGGGAAGATCTGCCTCCAAAAACCTCTTTGTGTGGCAAAATCTCAAGAAAACCCAATACCGTGCGATCCTAAACCATCTTGTGTCTTTATCTTGTCCCTGAAATGGCCCTGGTGCTCTTCTATCCCTATTTGGCTTTGCATATTTCTTCCCATTGAAACCAGTGAGAAAGTGGGAGGAAGATTAAGAACACTGATGCTTCCCATGCCTATAGTAGGTTAGCGGGATGTTGGATGTGGTAGGAAAATGGATGTTTGTGTGCAAAATTGCTTTTTCTATAAACTTGAACATCATGTTGGGAGGAAAATTGGACTGTAATTGATATGCATTGGGGTAATGGTGGTGATGACCATGGTAATAATGGTAATAATAGTCACGGAAGTAGGGGATACTGGAGAAATAGACTAACTTCAGAAGAGATTTTGTTAATGGAAGAAATAAAATGCTTTAAGATACTTCTCTTTGGCTTGGTTCTTTGAAAAGTGTTGGGAATAATAGAATCATAGAGTTGGAAGAGACCTCATGGGCTATCCAGTCCAACCCCCTGCCAAGAAGGAGGAATATTGCATAAAGCACCCCTGACAGATGGCCATCCAGCCTCTGTTTAAAAGCTTCGAAAGAAGGAGCCTCCATCACACTCCAGGGCAGAGAGTTCCACTGCTGAATGGCTCTCACAGTCAGGAAGTTCTTCCTCATGATCAGATGGAATCTCCTTTCTTGCAGCTCAATCTTAGTTTTTTTAAAAAATTAATCCCAACAATTCATTGGAGGCTGTTCTCAAGTTGCCTGTGTTGTTATAGGCTTCAACATTAGTTTACTGTGCTAATGACCTTTTTCTGACTTATTGTAATGATGCTCATAGTAATGAGATAATGGCATTGTCTGTCATCCAGTGCTGGTATGACATATGTATCTTCTACAGTAGTAGTGTTGCTGCTCTCAGGAGGGCGACTTAATAACGTATTGCCATGTGCTGGTAGTAGTAGATTGGATGATTCCTGTGGTAATGTCCCTAGCTGGAAATTCATGATTTATTTCCTTTTCCTTAGGATGATTCCCCGGGAGAAGGAGATCTGCCTTTCCAGCTCAGTGCTCAATCCTCCTCTTCAAATTCTCAGCTGACAGTGGACTTACCTGTCTATATCCTTCAGGTAGGACTCCTCAGTGTTGCAAGTTGGGTGGTAAAAGCCTGTTTCTTTCCTGTCGGTTTTGCTCTCTATAAAGAAACTGCAAAGACAAAGAAGTGTAGCAGACAACTATGTGTTTTTGTTAGTTAATATGTGTAACCTTGGTATTGGATAAAATTTGTAAGTTTAATCCAATAAGCATAAATATCAGTGAGCCTTAAAGAGTGCAGTGCAGGCAAACAACTACAGTGAATATTATATGTGAATTTTCCTTTCTTAAAATTAATTTGAACAGGAGACACACAATTCTGCTGAAGAGGATGCCAGTTCTGACAATTCTCAGTTTACAGGAAGCACCATTAATCTACAAGATCTTGAATAAATGCATTTGGAAAAGAGATGCAGTCATTCGCATGAAGCAAAATCTTGAGGAATAGACGTGTTTTTGCATCGATGGAGAGAAGTGGCAAAGTGGGAGCATGCACACGCTTGTGCTACCTTGTGGCTTGCCTGATGGTTACCGTGCAATGAAAAACTGTTCATCGGATTCTTGGAGATCTTGATATACTCTTTTTTGTGGTCAGAAAAGATACGTACAGCAGAGTGTTTTAAGTTATGCGGTGGATGACTTTGAATGCTGTCTTGGAGTGAACATACTGTGATGATATTCTCTACTAAATGAACAGTTATGCTTGGCACTTTTTCTTTATGTTCAAAAGCAGCAGACGACAAGAGGTTTCCATACTAAAAGGGCAGCATGATGGTGAAGACTATTTAAAATCAGGGGTGAGAAAAGTATTGCCTGTGGGTTGCAAGTAGCCCAAGGGGCCATTTTGAGGACCCCAGGGGTAAAAACAAATTGCCTTTTTTTTTTTTTTTTTGCTTTAGAATGCCACCAAATGTGTTTTAGGAAATATAAAGGATGTTCACACAACCTTTGGAGGCCCATTGGACCCCTAGGGGGCCCAAATGAGTATTGCCTGGAATTGCTCCAAAATCCATTAAGGGCATGGGGTACATTTCCACCAGATTTTGCAGACCAATTTCATCCCAGGACAAGGCTTTTGAAATGCAGGCATGGAAAAAATTCCTGCGCTCCATAAAAGCAGTTGGCATTTTCTTTCTTTCTTTTTGCCAGGAGCAGGTACAGCTCTACAAGGTTTCCTAAGGGGCTAATGTGGTGATTCCCTACTTTTCTGCAGTCGCTCACCCCGACTTAAATGTTTCACCACAAACTGACAGTTATCTGATAATGTTGAATACATTTCCAGGGAACCAAAACAGAAGAAATAGTACAGTACTTGGGGGTAGCAGATGCTGAAAAAGAACAGTATATTTCTTGTTCTTACCATATGATCATTTTGCTTTATGGGTTGCCCCTTAGTAGGCCGCCTGCCAGATTTTAATTCTTTCAACTGTTGATCAAGTTTACAGTAATACAAGCCAGTATTGCAATTTCTTTTTAAGATGTCACTTTAATTATGTGTAGCTCGATCATATCCATGTTTGGTCGGAAACAAATCTTGCTGAGTTCAGTAGGATTTAATGTAAGTATTCAAAAGGTTGTATCCTTTGCTTGTTGACCATTTACACAAGGTCTTTGCTTCAGCAAAGAACATACAACTAGTATTCATAGTAAGTAAATAGGTAAGTAACTTATTGACTGATAAGTGCATCTTTAAAAAGAAATCTGCCTTTTTATTTTAGGCATTTGGAAGATAATTGTATGGACTTAAAAGAGCAAATATTACAATTTCATCTAGAACAGACAAGATCTCAATATTTGACAACAAATCTGGAGGCTGGAATTGTAGCCACCTAGATTTAAGTCATACATATTTAGGTTTAAAAGCTGTGTATGTATGTATGCATTTTTATTCCTTTTGATTGTGAGTGCAAATGCAAATGCATTTCTATATATTTTTAAAGAAAAACAAGATTTCCTAGAAAGGAAGACTTGTCATCTTAACCTTGTTTATATTTATTTGCAGTAATGAAATGCACTGAAATGATATGTCAATTAGAAATAACAGTGGTGCGGGTGTCATCAGTTGCCTAGTACCCCCCCCCCCAAAAAAAACCCCACAAACAAACAAAAAACCCGGCTATATTCAGAAGTTCATGTTCAGGAATAAACGGATTTGCCCTGTTGCCATTGAAACTTTCCTGGCATCAGTAGATAAGAGGAGGCTGGTACTGGGCTATTGCCAGAAAGGTCTCTTTCTCTCCTTCCTAGGGACGCTAGGAGTCCTGGGGTCTTACTTGACACCAGTTACTTGGTTCTCGTATCACTTCTGGTTGTGTCATCAGGAGCACGTGGTTGAAATGGCCTCGAAAACAACTGCTTCCCAATCTTTCCATATTGGACCACTAATCATTTTCACTTTAGCCAAATGGAAACTATGAGGGGGCATCCAATCCATAATTTGATATGTCCTAATTACTTATTGTGCCTTTTCTGTGTCCGGAAAAATATGAAGCTATTTGAAAACATTTTGTAGGGATTATTTACCTTGCATTTTAATATTTGGGCATCATCCTTTAAAAAACCCTTAACTGGTTTAATTTTTCATTCTGTAATACAGTAGTATACAAAACCTGCTTGACCATTGTCTTTAGCCATTACTGTACTTCTGCAATAGCAAATGTGTACAATACATAATTTTTATTACGGTTATACAAATCTCCAAGCCAGAAGGAGTTACGAAAATACAGATGTTTAAAGCCTTTGGCTTTACCCACTTCTACAACACTGAAATTCAGTTTAAGAGAAATCAAAATATGTAAAAGTATGCTGTTTCACCTCAAATTCCTTACTCAGTGGAGTGGTTCGCACACTTACCTTGCCAGTGATCCTCCGGAGAACATGGGCAAATCCTGCCCCTCCCTTCAGCATGAAGCAAATGGCCCATTTACACGATACTCTCACTGCCCCAAATTTCTTTTTTCTGGGATACAGATTTCTCCTCAATAAACTTTATCCATTCCGTTATCTTAGACTTGTGATACGGGAAGAATGGGCAGCATGTAGGCCCCAGGGACATTTTTCTTTTGATTCCCAACATTTTGAAGAAAACTTACTTTGACTTCAAATGCTTTTGCATTTTAATGGGGATTGGGTGTGTGTGTGTGTGAAAACATGACAGATTTGTTGCACACATCCCCTAAATGGTGCATTGAAATATGTGGAATTAAAACACATTTGGGTTGCAGCTGTCCAAAATATGGTGAGGACATTGATTTTCAGGCAGTTCTTGGCCCCAGCCTTAGGTGAATGGTGGACTGGTTTGTGGGTAGCATCCCTGCATTTTTATCATCGAAAGAAGATCACTGACTGGGTAAGAGTTTGAACTGGATCCCTCCTACGTGGTGCTTCTCTTGTACAGAATCATGCCTCCTGAAGAATGAGTCAACACTTCTATGCGACAACATGTAAATGCATTTCTTCTAAAAGGTTTCTTTACTTGGCTTTGTATATTACTGTACATTTCTAATGGCTTAAGGGTAAGCATCAGATTTATTCCAGCAAAGTCCATTGCTGGCAGTGGACAATTAAAACATTGAGGAAATAAAAAGGATTAATAAAAACAACCAATGTCCAGTTTCACCATTTCAGTCTCTTTGTGTTATTTCCATACTGACCTCAAAAGATTCTCACTAAGATTTCCGAGTTAGGAAACTTTCAACATTCAGTAGAAGAAATATGATCGTGCATTGTTGCCTCTTTTTTGTTTTAAAATTATTATACAGTATATGTAAATTAGCTTTCTGATGCTTTCTTTTGTGATCCTACTGCTTTAACAATTTTGAAGACTTTTCCCCAAAAGCTGTTATGAAGTAATTTTGATTTATCAGGATCAGCACTTTCTCTTCTCATCTACTTTAAGTGTGTAACTAGTATTAGGAAATTACATTTTAAGTGTAGGTTTTTTTCCTCAAGTAATTTGCACACTATCTACCAAAATCTTCCCACTCAGTTTTGTCACATTTTGTATGCTTCATAACTTCTTGCAGCTTTGAGCTGCTAAGTAAAGTAATAAAGTAGCTCTTCCTTTTCCTTGTCCATGAGCCCTTGATCGTCATCTTCCTTCTCCTTGAAGGCAGGAGGCTCGGAACGGAAAACCAATCTTCTGCCAGTCTAAAAAAGAACAATGAAAAGTGGTTTTAAGCAACTAAAACCATCTTGAACCACAGGTCCATCAACAAAAGCAGAAGCTACATCTGTCTTCTTCCTACCCCGTTTTATCTGTAGGGAAGGAAGAGGTGCAAGAGCAACAGATAGTTTTTACTTATGTTTGGCTTGAAACACTGAAAAGCCAAATGTTGACAGCATTAACCAAAACTGGGAGAGAATCCATAGTATCTTTTCATATAACCAGGAACATGCTTAAGATAACTGACAAGCTAAACATGGGTAGAGAAGCGGTGTACTTATGTAATACCGCACCAATGATGCTGTTGCAGATGTCTTGAGTGCATTTAGTTTAGAAAAAGGGAATAGTTTAGCTTTGAAAACATAAGTAAAAGCTCCCAGGCAATAAGTAGTAGTAGTCATGTGCATTTGGGACTTACCTTCATCCGTTTCGTGTCCCTGCTTTCGGTGGGGGTCCTATCAGTTTTCATCCAAGTCTCCCGAAATATTTTTTGTTTTCGGGGCCGAATGATCTGCTTTCTTTTGGCCCATTATGGGGGGGGGGGTGTCTTCACCTGTAGGCCCAAAGCACCCGGGCCTACGGGTGCAGGCTTTGGTCCTATGCACCCGGGCCTTGCAGGGCCTGCAGCCAATCGCCGAGTAAGGAACGCTCCTTACTCTGTGCTCATCTGCAGGCCCTGCCAGGCCCCAGGAAATTTATCTGAAAAGCAGGCTTGGAGTCGGTACCCGCTCCCGTCTGCCTTTCATATCACATTTTCATTTCAGAAAGGGCCTTTCCGTTTCATGCCATTCGAATGGATGGAACAAAACATGAATAAGACAAATAAGACACATTTCGGGCCCATGCCTACTAACTAGTAAGTTGCTGTAATGCTACTGTAAAACAAATACCCTTATTGCTTAAATGCTCCAAATGGAGTATGCAATCTATACAAAATGTGTCCTAAGAGTAGCGCTGAGAGTGCCATATATATATATATATTTTGCACAAAAATTCCATATGTTGTCATAACAGCAGTTAAGTTTGAAAATATGAAATCAGTTTGGCAGTATATCTGAACTATACCAGTTTCATGGATTGTAGGGAGCTGCCTAAACATGCTTTCATCCCATTGAAAGCCAGAGGAACTGTTAAACAGTTCAAGGCAACTGACAAAAGCAGAGAAGCAAGTTGTGATCTATTTTGTTTCTATATTTGGAAACAAGTTAAGTGGTAAATGGTTTTATCTATGTATAGGAAGAAATTCTGTGTTACATCAAATTCTACTATTGGAGTAGTGCTTCAGCCTTTCTGCCATAACCACCCACACTTTGAGCCAGTGCTATCAGGCTGCCCTACACATGTGGAGCATATCAAGATTTTTTTCTGGTAGAAAAGAGCTGAATATCTAAAATAGGTGGGGATCAAGGCCTTCCACATTCCCAACATTTCTCACAGTTGGTTAGGACTTCTGAGAAATATAATCCAGCAACACCTGAAAATCCATATTGCCTCTGTTCTAAAAGATCTTACAGTTCTTTAATAACAGGGATAATAGATTTTCAGCGACCATATAAATTATTTGTTAGACAGTAAACTTGAGATTTTTTAAAAGGCTACAGTAATTTGATATGAGGGGATTTTCTTTCTCACATTATTATGGTAAGTGGTGAAAGAAAAGGGAGGGGGGAAAGCCTATGCAGAAACAAACCTTACAATGGAGGAATGTAAGGTTTGAATTTCTGTAGAATGATATGTGCTTTCTTAATTGAAAATCTGCAGGTAACACCAAATTCGGGGTGACAAAAATAAATTGTGAGGCTGGCAAATACTATCTAATAAAGGTAAAAGCTTAAAAGTTTACATGTACACTGGACAAGGTTTCTATTTCTTCTGATTGTAAAATAAATCCTGGGTAGATAGCGTGATCAAAATATTGTGTGGAAGCTGCAACAAAAAATTACATACTGGGTATCATTATGAAAGGGACTAAATATAAGTATCAAATTATAATGTGACTGCAGTTGGGATATGATGGACATCATAAATTATTTGGGCCAGAGGAAATCTCACATTTGGACCTTTTAGCTAGAAAAATAGTGAGTATGGGGTTAGATACCCTGACTGATCTGGAAGCTATGTGGGGTAAGTTTTGGTTAGCAGGTGGATGGGAGACTGCCAACAAATAACATGCTCTATAAAATGTTTCAGAGGAAAGAACTGAGAAGACCTCTGAGGATCTCTTGTCTAAGAAAACCCTTTGAAATGCATGGAATTGGCCTCGGTCAATTTCAATTTTGGACCACGGGCTACTTTTGACCTCTGGAGTACTAATCTCTAAAATTAGCTTTTGGTTGCTGTTTCGATGTTTTAGTAAGCCATATAATATGGAGACAGTTATATTTATCATAGCCTCTGTTGTACAATGTAAAGCCACCGACGAGTTATTTTGGGCATGTAATGTGCACAATCAGTATATTAAATCAATGCTTATCCTTTTGTATAGACAGTTCAGTGGAGCTCTTGTAGGACACTGAAAAGAAGAGCTTGTATAACTAGATGAAACTGCAAAAGAGGGTACAAATAAATTAGCATAAGTTCCCTTGTCTGAACATACCTTTTTCTTAACATCTGCTTGTGCTCTTGCCAGAGCCCGCTGCAGCCTCTCCTCCTGCAGTTGTCTCTGCTGCCTTATCTTTTCTTCCCTCATTCTGGTAAAATGAAGAACCAGGCCAACAGTGAAGTATAGGAACAATATTAGTCTGATCTAATTCCTAACAAGTTAGTTACAGGCTGGGATCTAGCTGAAATTGCTGCAATGGACAGGCAAAGAAGAAAACAATTTTCTTTGGGTTAGTTATCCTATGTTCTCACAGGGCTGGGGTGTTACTGTGAAAGCTCCTGTCCTTGCTCAGTAAGTGAAGGCTGCCACTAAAAGGAAGAAGCAAAAAAACTTACACATCTGTCATGAAACGAAGGTTGATATATTCTCTTAACCAAGTCATCTAAACTGAACCAGGATAATGGGATTTTTTAAGTGGCCTTGCCTCACTTTAAGCTGAGCCAGAGGTTGTGCGGTCCGTCCTTCAGATGTTGTTGAACTGCATCTCACATTAGCCTAAGCTAAGACTGCAGGGTGGTGCAGGTAAACATCTGGAGAGCCACACCATTTTTACTCCTGCTTTAGGCAATACAAGTGCACTAGCATCCCTCTTTCTGCACTAACCACCTCATCAGAATTTCTGTGGCAGAAGGAGACGATGGTCTGCTTTGCCAGAAGGCATGGGGAATCTAGCACCCCAGGTGTCACATTACCCAGCAAACCACATGGTGGAAGCATGGAGCATGCATGGTAGATGCGGCTTCTAAACTGGGTAACACGGGAAGCCTCCCGTATTGCCAGGGCAGCAGTGAAACGCCAGTTCCACCCTTCTGCAATCACGGAACCGGCACAATGCCTTTTGTTAGGAGCCAGCTGGCTCCGTGAGTGACGGGGATAGATCGTTTTTTGCCGCCAAATCTTGCCCCATATGATGAGGTCAACAATTTGTCTCTTCCTTTAGTTTACAATACAATCCCTACATTCATGAGGCATACATTCACAAACCTAATAGATACGCCTCAGTGCTATGGAATCCTGGGAGCTGTAGTTTTACAAGGTCTTTAGCATTCTCTATCAAAGTTTGCTGGTGTCTCACCAAACTACATGTCCTAGGATTCCATTGCATTGAGCCTTTGCAGTTAAAATTGTGCCAAACTGAATTAATTCTATGGTGTAGGTTAGGCTTGTGCATTTCAACAGAACCTCAAGCCGTTTATGCTATGCGGATTTCATGGAGATCCCCTGTTGAGGAAGTAGTCTTTTCCCATTCCACCCAAGTCTGATCTAGGGGAGAATCTCAGACCGTGCAACTGATTTGGAAAAGCTGAAGGGAGTCGTCAACTTTGTCCCTCTCATATGGACAGAAGTGGCGTTTTTTGGTGGGAAGCTCTAATTGCATACAACATACGTACAACTCTCCCACTGTGATAGCCTTCTCACCTCATCCTTCTTTCTTTTTCCTTGGCTTTCTCAGCTTGTTCTATTTTTGCTGCAGGTACCCTCTCCAGACACTCCAACAAGTCATCTAATTGGTGTTCTATCACCGTTAGCATCTGCAGCGTTCCTAGGTTTGCCTCATTTGTGCCAATGCAGCGTCGATAGACTTCCAGCACCTTTTTATTCAAACTTGCCAGCATTTTGTCCTGCAGGAAAGCACAAATACTAATCTAGCACTGAAAAGAAATTGTAGAGTTGAAATCCACAAGCATGTGGACAATTTCAACAGAAAGGCAGAAACCATGAAAATGAACAAAATCTAGCTACCAATATTTAAAAAACTCTAAAATTATAACAGTGAATAAAGAACAACAGCAAAACACAGGGAACTCCAGACAAGAAACAATCAGGGACAGCTAATCTCAACAAAAGATTCCC